AGGTTGGTCTTCGACAAACTAAGGCAGAATCAGTTATACGTAAAGAAGGAAAAGTGTGCGTTCGCACAAAAGCAGATCACGTTCCTTGGCCACGTGATCGAACAGGGGCAAATCAGTATGGACACAGATAAGGTAAAGGCGATCCAAGAATGGAGAGTCCTTACCTCTGTGACCGAGTTGCGCTCCTTTTTGGGGTTGGCCAACTACTACCGACGATTTATCGAAGGATTCTCAAGGAGAGCCACCCCAATGACAGAATTACTGAAGAAAGGAATGACCTGGATGTGGTCAAAGGAAAGTCAGGACGCCTTCGAAGATCTAAAGGCGGCCATGATGAAGGGCCCAGTACTTGGGCTAGCCGACGTGACGAAGCCGTTTGAAGTAGAAACGGATGCTTCCGACTACGCTCTAGGTGGTGTCCTCCAAGACGGTCACCCGATCGCTTACGAAAGTCGCAACCTGAATAATGCGGAACGACGCTATACCGTATCAAAGAAAGAAATGCTAGCAGTCATTCACTGCCTCAGGTCTTGGAGGCAGTACTTGTTGGGCTCATATTTTGTGGTAAAGACGGACAACAGTGCAATTTTCCACTTCTTCAATCAGCCTAAGCTAACATCCAAACAGGCCAGGTGGCAGGAATTGTTAGCCGAGTTTGATTTTAAGTTTGAACACAAGGCAGGAAAGTCCAACCAAGCTGCCGACGCTCTTAGCCGTAAAGGCGAACATGCGGCCCTGTGCATGTTAGCCCACATTCACGCCAGCAAAGTGGACGGGTCGGTCCGTGACCTCATCAGAGTATATCTTCAAAGAGACCCCTCCGCCCGAACTGTGGTCGAGCTGGCTAAGACTGGGAAGACCCGCCAGTTCTGGGTTGAAGGGGACCTATTATTTACAAGAGGAAACAGACTGTACGTGCCAAGAATGGGAGACCTGAGAAAGAAGCTCCTACATGAGTGTCACGATACTCTATGGGYTGGTCACCCGGGGTGGCAAYGGACTTRCGCCTTGCTGAAAAAGGGGTACTTTTGGCCAAATATGCGGGAAGATGTGATGCAATACACGAAGACCTGTCTTATCTGTCAGCAAGATAAGGTAGAAAGGACTAAAATAKCAGGGTTGCTTGAACCCCTACCAACTCCTACGAGACCATGGGAGAGTGTGTCGCTCGACTTCATCTCTCACTTGCCCAAGGTAGGAGAACATGAAGCCATTCTTGTCGTTATCGATCGATTTTCCAAATATGCAACTTTCATTCCGACTCCCAAGATGTGTTCCGCCGAGCTGACGGCGCAGTTGTTCTTTAAACATAGAGTTCCGACGAGCATCGACAGGGATGGCCGATTTACAGGAACCTTCTGGACGGAACTTTTTTCTATTCTGGGTTCAAGCTTGAACATTTCCTCGAGCTATCACCCACAGACCGATGGTCAGACAGAGAGATTCAACAGCATGCTTGAGGAATACCTGCGTCACTTCATCGATGCCAGACAAAAGAACTGGGTCCAGCTGTTAGATGTGGCTCAATTCTGTTTTAACGGCCAGACAAGTTCTTCAACAGGAAAGAGCCCCTTTGAGATTGTGTGCGGAAGACAGCCGTCTATGCCACATATTCTTGACCACCCGTATGCGGGGAAAAGTCCTCAAGCCCACAACTTCACAAAGGAATAGAAACAGACGACATAAATTGCTCGAGCATATTTGGAAAAAGCTTCCAAGCATATGAAGAAATGGGCCGACCACAAGAGACGCCCTCTCGGATTTCGAGTAGGCGACAAAGTTCTTATCAAGCTGAGGCCAGAACAGATTAGTTTCCGAGGACGCAAAGACCAGAGACTCGTGAGAAAGTACGAGGGACCCGTAGAAGTCGTTAAGAAGGTGGGGAGTGTCTCGTATAAGGTGGTGTTACCAGCTTGGATGAAGATCCACCCGGTAATCCATGTGAGCAATTTAAAACCTTATCACCCCGACCTTGAGGATGACGAACGCAATGCTGTTGTGCGGCCCGCCATCGACTTCAAACGGAAGGAAGACAAAGAAACAGAAGAGATCCTTGCAGAGAGAACCAGAAAGGTGGGGAGACCCGTTCGAAAAGTTCGAGAATTCCTCGTCAAATAGAAGGACCTACCTGATGCAAAGACCAGCTGGGAACGAGAAGAAGACCTTGAAGCCTGGAAGACGAAGATCGAGGACTTCAAGCTGCAGCAGTTGACAGGGACGTCAACCGTTTAAGTTGGGGAGAATGTTATGGGCATGCTTGTCCAGGGTGTGTTACCCATGGCCGCATGTCCAAACCATCCTCACCACTCGCTTTCCTTTCATGTCTTTAAAGCTTTCTAGTGTAATTTTCTTGTATCGGGTTTTTGGGGTTGTAGG